TTTTGTGGTGTGTGTGTGTGTGTGTGTGTGTGTGTGTGTGTGTGTGTGTGTGTGTGTGTGTGTATGTATGACGTGTACGACGTGAAATTACATAGTGTCTCATGAATACCTCTCACCCAACACACGACTACACGCATAAGAAGCACAGACGAGAGAAGCGCGGGCTACGCCGTTTAGAAATTCACGGCCGTGAACAACTGACCACCCCGCACCACCACCACCAGACACACACACACACACACACACACACACACACACACACACACACACACACACACACACACACACACACACACAATATTTGACAACAATAAAATCAACATAATTATCGACACTCGCTGACCAACGGAACAAACTCTGTATGAAGCTTGCGCGTAGCATTGCGAGACCGGACAGTGTTGCGGCAATAGTCTTGCCGTACGTATGCGTTGTCTTCGCGCCGTGCCTGCGAGCTGAGCATCACGCGGAAACAGCCTCGGTTCTCTTTCTCTCTCCCCTTCTCTCTTTCTTTCTCTCTCTCTCGCTCTCTCGCGCGCGCTCTGAAAGTGACTACATTAAGGCCGATATCTGGCAAACAAGCGCAAATGTGAGAGTCGCAGAGGCAGTGCGCAGCGACACGGAGAATCGATACCCACCCTGACTTCACTCCCGGTGAATATATCACGATATGACAAGCTATAGCACTTGACAAAGCCTGCGGTGAAAGAATGCAGGTTTGCCAACAGACATGACAATTAAGACGCAAATTAAATACACCAGCAAGCGCTAATGAATAACTGGACCACTTCACTACTACGGGGTTGGGGACCATGGTTGCGAAGGAGAGAGATGGAGGAGCAAGAGAAGAGAGGACGGAAAAGAAAGAGAAGACGGGAGAGAAGGGGAACAGGAAAGTGGAGGGGAGAGGGATATGAGCAAGGGTAAAATGAAGATAGGAGTAAGGAGGAATCAGTGCAAAAGAAGGACGCATGTGTTCGACTAACTCCAAACTCATGAGAAAGCTGTGACCCAGTGTCTGTGATTATGCTTAATCGGATTCAATTTCCCTCTACATGTACATTGCTTCTACATGGAAACAAATTGCTAGAAACCCACACTCCAGATTCAAGTTCTCATGAAAGGCAACGTGAGGGTCAGGTTATCCTTTGTTAGAGGTCCCCTCAAACTGTAATAGTATCCACATTTTCATCACTCTAGTTTATAACCCCTTACATAATTGGAATTAGACGTTATATTATGCCGATTGGCGTGGACTCACGGTTACACGGTACCTCTACCTCAATCCTTCTAATATGCTCTTATGCACAGCTGCAGATGCAGCACACATTCATAGATAGATTTCTATTGAAAATGCCTATTTATACTGGGCAGACCAATAATGCGAACTGTAGTTTTTACATCCGAATGCGACCGAAGAGAAGCAAGGAGACAAACGAGGCAAATGCGGTGCTGATTCTGAATGGACTCGCTGCGATATACAAGCCGACATAAGTATGATTACGAGATCTGCCTCCACCATTATTGCGCGACAAAAGCTTTCAACTATTGTACGGCACACGTC